TAAATTTAGTTAAATCATCTTGTAATGTAAGGATGAATTTGAATTTTTGAAAACCTGCGTCAGGCAGGGGACCAACGATGTCCAGAGCTAGTCGTTCAAACGGTCTAGTGGAGGTAGAAGTTATTTCCATTGGAGCCTTGTTTGACATTCTCAATGGTTTATTGATTTGGCATAATTGACATTTCTTTACATAATCTACAATATCAGAGCGCATACCTTTCCAATAATAGGTAGCTTTAATTCGTTTATACATACGATTTGACCCTGGGTGACCCGCAATGGGTGAATTATGATTTTCTTTTAAAATTTTAGGTATTTCGACAGGAGTAGGATAAATTAATTGATTTTTGTATATATGAATTTTTATATTAGTGTTATGGAAAATATAGGCAATGATATTATATACCTTAATATAAGCTAACTTGGAAAATGGGTCAGAAAAGTCTGGTAAAGCGAGATCTGTAATATCATGATTTTCGGTCAAAATTTTATCTCTGAGTTTTATTAATAAATTGTAAATATCTTTAAATTTAGTTTCCTCGTAATGATGAACTTTAGTATAAAGAAAATAATAAGATTTATTCTTATCGTTTACGCATTGAATTGTAAAAGGTTCGCGTTCAGAATTTAATAAGTCCTCAGGCTTATCTAACTGCGATAATATTTCTTCACAGTGAGGTATAGATGAGTCAAAATCTAAAGAGACAGGACATGCAATAGTTTTTAGCTTAGATAAATGTAATCCTTGAGTACATTCTGAGATTATAGTATTTGAAGTAGGAATTTTATTAGTAAATTGATCCTTAAAATATTTTTCATAAGTAGAGTTATTTAAAGTGCTAATATCTATAACATTAATTGGACAGCGTGATAACGCATCGGCGTTAGAATTAAGACGGCCTTGTTTGTAAACAATTTCATAATCATATTCTTCAAGTTTTAGGCGCCAACGAATGAGTCTACTGCCTGGATCTTTGACATTGAATAGCCATACTAATGGTCTATGATCGGTTACTATTTTAAATTTATTACCGTAGAGGTAGGGACGAAACGTTTTGACTGCGAATAAAATAGCTAATAGTTCCTTTTCAGTAGTTGAGTAATTACCTTCGGGACGATTTAAAGTACGCGATGCATATGCTATCGGTTTGTCCTTGCCTACAGGACCTTGGGATAAAATTGCACCTATAGCATAATTACTTGCATCCGTGGTTACTATGAACGGCTGAGAAAAGTCTGGATATTGAAGCAGCGGAGCAGTGATTAATTTTTCTTTTAAAACATCGAAAGCAATTTGTTGTTCTTGAGACCAGTGGAAAGTTGCGTCCTTTTTTAATAAAGAAGTAAGCGGTTTAGTTAATTTAGAAAAATTATCAATAAATCGGCGATAATAACCTATTAGACCTAGGAAAGATTTAATTTCTTTAGGACTCTTAGGGATTGGAAAATTCGATACTGCTTTTACCTTGTCTGGATTAGGAGAGACACCCTTATCGGTGATAATATGACCAAGGTAAGTTACTTCCCGCCTTAAAAATTCGCACTTGTCTGGTTGCAATTTTAAATTATATTCGCGGAGCTTATCGAATACTAATTTTAATTTTTCCATATGTTGTTCTAAATTCTGACTATAAATTATACAATCATCTAAATAAACATAGCAGTGTAAACCTTGCAATCCAGATAAAACGGTATTCATGAGCCGTTGGAAAGTAGAAGGGGCGTTTTTTAACCCAAAAGGCATTCTAGTAAATTCGTAGTGACCAGACATACTCGAATTAGTACTTATAGTAAATCCCGTTTTTGGGGCATCTTTAGCGTCCATCTTTATCTGGTGGAAACCGCTAGCAAGATCAAGCGTTGTAAAATATTTGGAATGACCTAATTGATCTAGAATATCGGTGATGAGAGGCAGCGGATAACTTTCAGAAACGGTGATGTCGTTAAGACGCCGATAGTCAATAACTATTCTCCACTTTCTTTTGCCAGAGGCATCTAATTTTTTCGGAACTACCCATACAGGGGCGCTCCAAGGCGAAACAGAGGGACGAATTATGTTTTGATTAAGCATTTTGCGAATTTGTGTATCGACTTCTTCCTTGTGACACTCAGGGAAGCGATACGATTTAACATGGATTGGGGCAGCGTTACCTGTGTCTATGGAATGTTGAATTCCATTGGTAAAAGAGAGAGGTTCACCTTCGAGGTGAAAGATATCTGTGTATTCAGAGCAACAATTTAAAAGTGCTTTCTTTTCCTCGTTGTTGAGATGAGAGCAGCGTAAAAGGTTTAGAACTTGATCTATTCGATTAGATTTAGAAGTAGAAATAGAATAAAACGATTTATTAGATATTGAATTTTCACAGGAAATAGAATTATTATAATCAAGAGGTGTCAATTCTACGGAATAATTTTTTATTTCTAAATCTTTGTCAGTCGTATTTAAAACGGTAATATTAACTTTTTTATTTGGTTTTATTAATACAATACAATTCGCGACGTAAATACCTTTGCTTAAGGTGTGATCTAGAACTAGAGCTTCATTGTTATGATAAAACTCGGGCGAGTAATTTGATATAGCGCATTCAATGACGGCTTCTGAGCGTGCCGGGACGATATATGTCGGCTGATTAAATATAATAGGAAGTTGGTAACCGCATAGAGTTATTAACTTAGAACTATAATTTATACTAGCATTAAAATATTTAAGAAAATCTGTACCAATAATACCGTCGTAATTAAGATTTATATTATCGTCGATAACATGAAATTTCTTTACGGTGAAGGAAAACATCGTGAGGAAACCTGCATGTCTGAGAGAACTTAGAAAGTTTTCGAAAGACATGTGAAGTCCGCCAACCCGCACTTGGCCAGCGTGGTGGACTATGGCCTGATCCCCCTCGTGCTGAAGGGAGGCCCGTGCCCAGCAGTGGGACATTAAAAAAAGGGCTAAATACACATGAAATTTATACTCGTAAGTTTCATCGCGTAATAAAAATTGTAAGTTGATTGAGCCTAAGGTTTCACAATATGTATCCGTATCATTTATACCTTTGATTCTTATTTTATCGTTAAGAAGTTCATGTTTCATTTTTAAACATGAGCGTTTTATAATACAGACGCTTGCGCCAGTATCGATAAGAAGATTGAGACACTTTGGAGAATATTTTATAAATAGATTCGTATATGGTAACGAAACCTTGCATGTATTTATGCTTGTTTCAAAAATAGGCATAGAATTTGAATGAGATTTAGTAAGACTCGGCTTAACCTCCTTGGGTTGCTGAGATGTAATAGATTTAGTAAACGATTTAGTAGGACTCGGTTGTACCTTTTTGGTCAACTGAGATGCATGAGAACTAGAAAGACTCAGCTTCACCTCGTTGGGGTGCTGAGATGTAATAGATTTAGTATACGATTTAGTAGGACTCGGTTGTACCTTTTTGGTCAACTGAGATGCATAAGAACTAGAAAGACTCAGCTTCACCTCGTTGGGGTGCTGAGATGTAGTAGATTTAGTATACGATTTAGTAGGACTCGGTTGTACCTTTTTGGTCAACTGAGATGCATAAGAACTAGAAAGACTCAGCTTCACCTCGTTGGGGTGCTGAGATGTAGTAGATTTAGTATACGATTTAGTAGGACTCGGTTGTACCTTTTTGGTCAACTGAGATGCATAAGAACTAGAAAGACACGGTTGCTTGCTAAAGCACTGCCGAGGTGAATTAGTATTAAAATAGGATTTAGCATAAGGATTTTTATGAAATTTAGTAGAAATAGTATTATTAATTGTCGTGTCCTTATAATAACGCGATTTCGGCAGACACGTATCCGAAATCGTATTCAGTTTAAAGAGTTAGAATTATTGGCGTCATCGTTATCACATGTCACGTGCATAGGCATAGAATTAGAACTAGAATTAGGAACAGAGTTACGGCTTACAAAATTAGAATTATTATTTGAGCTACGATTTATATAATTAGAGTTAGTATTCAAGTTACGATTAAAGTTTTTATTAAAATTTTGACGTTTTTGCATGTTATATTGTCGTTTCTTACATTGATCAATTGTGTGCCCTATATTTTTACAATAATTACATATTAATTTATCAGAGTTAGAGCTTGATAGATGAGAAATTTGTTTATTATAATTAAAATTAGAATGTTTTTTATTTTTAAAACATTGAGTAGCTATATGACCCGTTTTATTACATATACTACAGTGCTTATTTGAATTTTTTGAACACGTTTGAAGATTTTGTAGTTTTTCTTCTTCTATTGCTAATTGAATAGCTTCATTTAAAGTTTGAGGATTCCTACACCGAACTATATTAGAAATAACAGGATTTAATCCTAATAAAAATGTATTTAATGCTAGATCTTCCATGGCGGCTATCCTACCTGGAAGTTCTTCAGGATTTTTACAGCTATAGTGTATATCTGACTGGATTTTTGTTAAAATTTGTTCTAGTTTTAAGGAAAATTTTGTGACGTCCTCGGATAATTGTTTACAATTTTGCAAATCTGATAGTAGGTGTGTCGAGTGCTTTTTCTCTCCGAAAGTGGAGCGGAGAAATGTTTTTATTTGGGTCCATGTTTCAAAATTTTTTAAACTACACGCAACTTGAGCTTTTCCTTCAAGTTGTGATAAAATAAATTTGCATAAAATTGGTTGTTGTTCTGAAGTAGCTAATGACATTGCATTGTCGCAATTTGTGAGAAAAGCGGGTAAAGATTCCTTCTCCCCATTATAAGCTTTAATAAATTTCGTCAAAAACGATAGCGTAATTTTCTCTGACATATTGTCCTTATTCTTTTCTACTTTAAGTGACATATTGTGAAATTAAAATTTGTAATGAAATAATAACAAGAAACAATTTTAAAGACAGTAAAAGTGTAAAATAAAAGTAAAATTAAAGCTTAAAGAAATATAAAACGACTTACAGGGAAATAATAATTTCTACACGTAGCATAATTTGCGTAACAATGGCTGACACGTTACACTCGTGGCGGCTGGCGGACGGAATCGATGACACGATGACTCTCCGTCGTGGGAAATGGAAATAGCAGGAATCTAGAATGTTCTCTTGTTGATGGTGGTGAGTTAGACCCAGCTGGTGCGGGCTCCTGGCGGAGGCTGATCGTCGACCAGACCGGTGATTTCAGGATCGGTGTGCGTGGAGCGGGCTCACGCTTTAAAGCGGAGGCTGATCGTCGTCCAAAATTTGTAGTGTAGTAGGTGCAGGCTTAGGCACGGCTAAGACTTAGTGTCGACCTTGAAGATTTCGGGGACCTCGGATTCGGATGCCAATGTCTTTTACGACTTTCTATTGGCATCCCACTTCTGACACCAATTTGTTAGGAGGCCGATCCCGTTAGTCTTTTTAAAAAAAACCACAAAATAAACCTAAAAGTTTATTATAAAGTTCACACACAAACTTTCATAAATTCTTGACTTCCGAACTTTAACGCGTCTCGGAATCTATGTCCGATCTATCCGGGGCTCTGAGTCTAACTAACTTTTAAAATAAAATTAGAATTAAAGTTGAAAAAGGAACAATGCAATTGCTGACTAAGTTAATGTAAAGGAAAAATACTTTTAATTAAATAAATGCTTACTAAGATTTAACTGCCTTGTAAAAAGGGATATAACAGTACGTCTTTCTTATATCATGTATAATATAATATATACTAATAATATTATAAATGTGAAAGTAACTTCGTCTGTGTGTGAAGTATAAGTAGTCTATATAAAGCAAAGTCGGGTTTGTTACAACATTTATAACTCGAGAACTACTGGACCGATTTTTATGATCTTTGTTTTGTTGGATTTGTCTTTACTCCGAATAGCAGAATAACATCGGAAAAAATCACAAAAAAACCATTCCATACTAAGCGTCAAAACTGTACCTAGGGACGAACTTGAGCGAGGCGAGAGTGAGTCGCTAGTTTCAAATAAGAAAAGAGCTTTAAAACCTGCATCGTTTTAATAGTTTATCATTATCAATAAAAATAACAAATATGTAAATAATTAATCAAAATTAAAAATATTTGTGGTATATAATTTCGTATTACATAATTATGTACTTAAGTAATGATGTATGTGATTCTATAAATATTATTTACTTAAATATAAATTAACTTTAAAATTATATATTTACATAATATATTCCTTTATATACCTTGATAAATTTTAACCACTAGCAAAACAGTAGAGCCTAGTATGTTTAAAAACAATAGTTAAAGTCACATTTTCAGGGGTTAAACAAACTTTTGTATAGTATTAAGTTAGGATAGTAAGGGTGGCGATGGTTTAGTTCTAAGGTAAGGATTTATTGACTGGGCTTAAGTCATGACTAATTATTTCAACAGAGGGTAACAATGTTTTACTTTTTCGGAATAATATCAATATGTATAAACGCAAAAGTTTGTGGGGATGTATGTTTGTTACTCTTTTATGCAAAAACTACTGAACGGGTTTTTAATGCTATAATTTATAAGGATAAACTTATAAAAAGAAATTAACTACGCGGTTAAAGTCGAGGGAAAACGTTAAAATTCTTTACAATATTCATTATTAGTAACGTGAAAATGTGTTTTTTAGCATCTACGTGATTATTACTTAGCTTTTACTCTCTCGATGTGAAATTAAATTATAAAAAATCATATCATGATTTTATCGATCAATTTATGCATTAACCTTTAAAACTGCCATTAGATTTATAGTTGCAAAAAAAAATGCAAGTGAATAATCAAAATAAAATTATTAAGTTTGATAATAAATTAACAAGTTTATACAAAAAATTGTATAATTATAATATAATTAAAAATAATATACAAGATATTCCAAAAGTCATATATTATGGTCCCCCTACTAAGGGTTTCGGCGCTCATCAGACGTTTCAACAAAGTAGTCGTAGGGCGAGGGTCTCCACCCGGACAGTTTGCGTACATCATGTTACGTTCGCAATCCTGAAAACAAAGAAAGTTACTATTGTAAAACTTATATGATAAAAAGCTTTTAGTGTTTTGGAATTGGGCTGGCATTAAATAATAAATAAATAATATGTCGGAATATTAACACACAGCACCATCGAGTTCCTTGGTAAGCTACGAGGCCTGTGTTATGGATACTAGATAGCTGATACACAATACATACATGATTGGAGTACAAACATTCGTGCTCGCTACACAAATGAATTCCCCCAGTGGGACTCGAACCCGCGACCGCTGATATAGAAAGTAGGGTCATCATTACCTTACTTTTTTATCCTATCAATTGATACTTAACTTGGGCAATATATTATTTACATATTTAGTTAAATATAAAAATAACAAATGTATAATTATTAGTATTATTTTCGTTTATAATAAATAAAACCACATTCTGATTAATAATGCAGTGGTCATGACCGATTGTTGGCGATGAATTAATACCAATTATGATATTGTAAGGCGATGTGTTATCGTATAGCCAGTAAAGTCAATAAGAGAGCTCGAAGATCTGTGTTGCTACTGTGATATAGTTATTTCTTTATAGAAAATCCATATAACTTTATAACACTGACACATTCGAACCGTGAAGAAGAAGAAGACCTCCAGAGTACATAGGAAATGTAGCGGCCAATCTTAACGTTACAGGGTCAAGACCCAGAGGGCGACCTAAAACGAAATGGACAGATGTGGTCAGAAAAGATCTTAGTTCCTGCAACGTTACTGAAAACGATACGTCTGATAGAGCGAAGTGGAAGCATAACACTAGGAAGGCAGACCCCACCATCAGATGGGAATAATAAATGCACAGGAGAGAGAGAGAGGATTCGAACCGTGAACCTTTTTTTCTGTCATAAAAGCTAGAAATTGTATAAAAATGTATGATGAAATTTCCTAATTAATATTTTCATATACTATAAATCTTTTCATAAATAAAAATGTCTATTAAGATACGGAACCCTTCATGTGCAAGTCCGACTCGCACTTGACCGATTTTCTAAATTTGTTAATATTTATTGCAATGTATCCGTCAATATGATGAATAAAATATGTTGGAAATTCCGAATAAAACTTGTGAATATCGCTTTATTGTATCACTCGAGGGCAATCGGATTGACGTAATTTCTTTCTTCGAAATTGATAATAATAGATTAGAGAATACGTTAGGCAACTTTTTTTGGAATAAAAATCGTATAAGATTCTGTTTTATTGCAAAAATTCTAAAGGGTATCGATGCAAGTCACATATATTTTACATATCGAAGTTGAATTCCTTTCATTTGACCGACTTCGACTAAAGTGAAAACGTTTTTTTAAGTTTTTAAAAAAAGATTAAAACTCAAGGGACGCCATTTAAAGAAAATGTTAGAATTTTAAGGTGATGGATAGCTAGTATAGTTCATTTGAAATCTATATATTTTTTGAGTGATTACGTATTTATGGGATATTCTCTCATGGGTTAAATCTAACTCACAATTAAATCACATAAACGAATATCATTATTTACTTTAACTAGCCTATAGCTATGTAGCTAATATCTTACTCAATAAATGGGCTATCTAATACAAAAACAATTTTTCAAAGAAACAAAGAACAAACAAACAAAGCCTCTTTATAATATTAGTATAAACAATATAGATATAAACATTGCGATTTTTGGTACAATTACTATAAAAACGAATTTATAATACTCGTACCATAGTTTAAATTATATTTTAGTAAAAAAGGACACGCAAGAAGAATGGATAAACTTTAAGAAAGTTGTTAGTTTCAAACTTCGTCGCTCCTTTGGAAGTAATTTAAACTTTTTATCAAATAAAGGAGAGAATTGTCAATAAATACATGTAAAGTCTATATGAAATAAAATTGTATTATTTTATAAATTGTATAACTGAAAGAATATGAGTTATTATTCATAAAATAATCTAAATTTTCCTTTCTTTTTTTACTTTGTAAGAGTAAAGAAAAGAATATATAAAAAGTTTTTTGTTTTTTAACAGCACTCATATTTTACACTGAGTAAATTTTATTAAGATAGAAGGACCAAAGATTAATATTATCAAAGTAAACATTCGCCAGGGAATAAATAAAAGTAGGACTTTGGCCTACGATAAATTTCCTATAATTTTAACTGTCTCGTTGGTCTAGTGGTTACCGATTAAAAAGTCCTGGGTTCAAGTCCCGTCGTAATATTATGTTAGATAGCTTATAAGTTATAACGTTTCTCAATAGAATCATACTTACCAATATTATAAATATAAAAGTCTGTTATCTTTTCACGTATAAATCATTGAACAGATTTTGATAAAAAGCAACGACACAGAATCATTGCATCCTGGGGACAGATATAAGGCTACTATTGACCCCTACTCCGCATATACTAGTAGGCTATAAATGCAAAAATAATTTTACAAATTAACCTTGTAGTTCCAGAAATTAAACAAACAAACAAAATTTTCTAGCTTTATACATAAGTTTAGATGGAATATATTAGTATAAAGATAGGATTACAAACCTGATATACTGCACCTTCGGACACAATGACTGAGAACTTCTGCAAAGTGAGCGCTTGCTCGTGAGTACAAAGGGTGGGCTTCACGAATAGAGACTCGAGGGTGCAATGTCGAAAGCGGGCTCTTGCACTATAATGCATTTAATAAAGTTGATGTTAATACTATTATACTCTATTTCCATACAATTATCTGAAATAGTTGTTAAATTAATTAGGTCTTAGCATTGTCTATTTAATAAAATATTAATTCAAGTCAATTAACTTATTAATGGCTTCAAAAGTGTGACACACTTAGAAAATATATTTATTATATTGTTCATAATATTATATGTATTTGTTGTTTATTATTTTATTACTTTATTTTAATATTATTTATACTTATATATATATTGTTATGTAAAAACAATATTTGACACATTCGTATTAAGATTTGAATTTCATTTAAAATTATCTGCAACTTATGATCTATTCCTTGAAAACAACGTGGTTTTAAAATATTGATCTGAACAAAAAAGAACATTATTTTGACAATATATGCATTTGCAATAATCTCGTTATAATCAATGACCTTTTCTTTTACCCGTTCTTTTTCTTGGATAAAAGACAACTGCACGCCAACTATCTCTGTGACAAACAACATCAAAATTGATTTAACAGTTAAGGCACATAGAGGTTATAGCACAATAAAAAAATTTTATTTTGGATTATATCTTAAAACCTACCCTCCCCCTCCCCTTCCTCCCTTTCTTTTAGATCCCTTTCTAACTAACTAACTAACCCTAAAACCATCACAAACATATTACAGCCTGATATGTATGTTGATTAATACATAAAATTTATGGGTAAAACTCCATAACATTTCCAATTCTGTCCTTTCCAGATGTTAAAGCCGCAGCGCCTTAATGTTTTATTCAAATCGGTTAAATGTTTTTAGTAAAGAGAATTTGTAGTTTACAAATATCGAGCACTTTATTTATATAAAATTGAAGTTTTAAAATTTATTTAGTTAAAATGTACAGGCATAAATAAATTCTCTGTTAGACTGAATGTTGTCGAGTCAATTATGGTCTGCGGAAAAAAAGTATTTTAAAATTTGATTACGAATTTTGTATCAAAGCATTACATAGTTTATTATAAAAAAAAGAATTATGTAAATTACAAGAGTAAGCTTAATCCTACTAAAGAAACAAGTGTTCGCTGAGTGGTCGAAATTCAAACAGAAATATAAATGAAATCTAACCCATCAATTTATTACATTAAACAATATATCTATACTAATATTTTATTTTTTTTATAATTTTTTTATTTTGTAAGTTGGAAAACAGCATATAGAAGCATAAAATGCAAAATGCATCAGAAATAATACACTTAGCCAATAAAATTTCCACTTATACAGAGTAAACTTACTAACAATAAAATTAAAACAGATATAAATAAAATGTGTAGCTACAAAATAAAAAGAAATATAAAAAAATAATATTTATCAGAGTCTAGTGTTTTTTTAAGTTCAGCTATAAATATCTTTAAATTATATCCAAATACGAGTATGTCAAGATGCTTGTAGTAAATATTATAAATGTCACAGATATTTGCATATTTGGTTCTATGAGAGGGAACAGAAAAGGTATCTCTGGGTCGGCTGTTAGTTCGAGGGCATTTAAAGAATATATGTGACAAAAGATAATTACAATCGATATGGTTATTGATGATTTTGTCTCTTATCTCTTTATAGAGGCAGAGTTTGTTTGTTTGTTTGTTTGAACGCGCTAATCTCAGGAAATATTAATCCGATTTGAAAAAATATTTTTGCATTAGATTGCCTGTTTATTGAGAAAGGCTATAACGCAATATATCATCCCGGGAAATGTACAGTTCGCGTAGGATAGATTTATTTTTGTATAGGGACGAACCCGAAGTGAAGCGAGGGTGAGTCGCTAGTATGATATAAAAGCTTGTTGCGAAATTTACATATATAAAAAATATATTATTATTTTCTTAGAAGTACTTATGTCAAGGTAAAGTTAAATATTGTATTTTCGTTTATCTTCACAGGTAAATCTCGTAAACTAAACGTGTAAGCAAAATTTCAGCTCAAGCGGTTGAGTATAACTGCTTTAAATTAAAATTAGTTGCAAGATTTGATACAAACATTGCAAGTTAAATAAAAGGTTGTAAAAAATACTGTCTTTCTGTGTCATTGCATATTTATTTATAAGGTAATAAAAAAGTTTCTATTCATGATCACTACTATGCAGCTTAAACGATCGCAACTAAATTTTGTACAAAATTTATAGTATACATTTTGAATAAAACTTCTCTTCGAACTTTCTTGCGGATTTAAGTACTTTGGTTTTTGGTTTCTGACGTTTATTTACAGCTATCATGATCAAGGGTGAGACTAAGGGCTTTTATGTTTAAAAAAAATAATATATTTTTAATACAGACGGTGTTTATTCACAAAATTATGCATTCATTTTGAAAAAAAAAAACTTACGAACTTAATATATGAATAAAAGAATAGATTCCTCAGAATAGTGTAAATAGGGAAAAATATATTTGAAAATCTGTGTCTATGAAACTCCACAGATATTCTTCTGTACGAATTCTGTAGAATAGCGATTATATAGGAAAACACGAAGTTTTTTTCGTAAATTTCCCAGTTAAATTATTTAAAAAAGTATTGAATCACGCAAATCGGTCTATATATATATATATATATATATATATATATATATATATATATATATATATATATATATGTATATATATATATATATATATATCGGTTACTAAGGCAAGCAATTCATTTTATTTATACAGATTAATCGATCCAAACATTAAAATACCAATTTAGAAGATAGAAGTTAATTTGATTGTTTTTGACATTTCTATATTGTTAATTTAAAGCACATAATAACACGTGTTTTTCTCTAGCTTTCATGGTCATATTTTCAATCGGACTATTATTATAAAGGCGAAAGATTATATGTTGTTTTTTTTCCTGCTGGACGGAATAACCTATAAGCAGCCTACTGTTAGGCTACCTATAGACCCGCCCAAGCGAAGTGAAGGTCAGTCGCTAGTAAATAAATAAAAATACATATACAAAAAAATAAAATAAAATGATTGTTTGTAATTTTCAAAACAGCTTTTTTTTACAAAATGCATCTATATGCGTATGTATTTTCTTATAAGTACCTTATGGTACTTATAAAAAAAACAGTTTTTATTTATTTTTTGTATGTCTGTTTATTCCGGCTAATCTTTGAAATGGCTGAACCGATTTTGTCAGGCTCTTCACTGGCAGATAGCTACTTTTATTTAAAAAATAATAAGGCTTACAAATAATTTTAACCCATGAAATTGTAAACAAAATCCGATTCAAATGGGACAGTATATACATAATGTATTATTGGTTTAAAACGTACCTAGGGACGCGAGGTAAGTTATATGTTAGAACAATAACACAGCACCATCTAGTTCCATGGTAAGCTACGAGGCCTTTTTATTTATTTTTTTTTAACGTCGGGAAATGCATCTACGCATACCACCTGATCCCCCAGGTGGTGATGTGGGGCTCACCGGCTGGAAGAGCCGGTACTACCCACTAAAACCCGACATCCCTTCCCCCCGCCTTAGTGGGACGCCGCAGGATCGCTTGCGCATAACTACCACGGCGCCCCGGCGGCAGGTCTGCCTAAATACTAGGCAGACCACCAAACCAATGGGGCTGCTCCACAGTCAATTCTGCTACGTCAGAGAAGTACCCGGAGCAGCCCCATAAAACCAAAACACCGCCCACCGAAGTGGGCCACCTCCAATCGGCTGCAGAGGACAGGGAGAGCGGAAACGAAACACCGACACTCCTCTTCCCCTGCAGCCCCACCGCGTCCGCCATCAAACGGTGGCGGCCCCGTCTAGGCCGCGGAAAGTAGGGAGAACGGCGCACCGAAATACCGGCACTCCTCTCCCGCCGCGGCCTACCCCTCCGCCGAATGCGGGCCTGCGACCACAGTCGCGCAACCGGCACCCATCATCCGGTTGTGGGACCAAGCGGTCCCACCACCGGTGGCCGCAACGTCTTCGGCTCGAGGCCTAGACGAGCGGCCCCATCCAAGCCATTTGGTCCGCGCCGGATTTCTCCGATACCACCCGCCCCTCTAAGCGGGTGGCATGCCCCTATCCGCCACCTGGGGACGCGCCCGGTAGGAGTTGGCTTCTCCCCCGGGAAGCTACGAGGCCTGTGTTATGGATACCAGATAGTTTATACACTACACATATATAACTTTAAATACATACATATTATAAATATAAGCACCCATAAGTGTAGAGTACAAACACTGGAGTACAAACATTCGTGCTCATCACACAAATGAATGCCCCCAGCGGGACTCGAACCCGCGACCGCTAGCACAGGAAATAGGATCACTACAAACTGAGCCAAGCGTGTCATCATTAATTAACTTTAGCATTTACTTTATTAATATAATTAGCTAAAATCTTACCAACAAAGTTCGAAATGTACAGAGTAATGCGTCCATTCTTGAGTTGTATTTATCTGTTCTTCAACCGCATTCTTGAAGGCAATATAGCAAGACTCCCAGGAATCTGTCGAGCTTTCTACGCAAAGCGGCAGCTCTTCGTACCCTTAACGATGTTAAAATATCGTTGAAACACTTTATAAAAAGGAATACTGACGATAAGAAATATAAGAAGGAGTTACCCTTTTTTACTTAGTTGTATATTAGAAATTATTTTTCAAAGAAATATTTCCTGAATCACTTTATTTTTATGACTTATCATAGGTACGATATACACAGGTATATTTTACAGGTATATACAACTGGTATATTTTGGCAAATTTTGGCACTTTTTGAGTTGTCTGATTTATATTTGAGAATAGATTGGATTTTTTCATGCTACTATACTACTAATATTACGAAAATAATTTTGTGAAAATGTTTGGATATTTGTTAGTCACACGTTAACTGTTCAACGGATTTGGATGGTACTTATGAATACATAAATATAATATACGTATACTACCTATATTATATATATATATATATATATATATATATATACTACCTACTTAATGTACAAGTAGGTATATAATAACATATGTATACCTACTTGTACATTAAGTAGGTCGCGCGATAAAGTTTGATCTAAAAAAATACATAAGCAAATATCGTCTAGTTATAACATAAGCTGCAATATCGTAATTGGCAAGGCTTGTTTAATATAGTCTATTTAATTACTTCGCATAGGTAAAATACCGCTGAAAACAATGTAGAAAATATATAAGGCTTTCTAATAATCTCACTGTTCATCAAAAGACAACTTTAAATCCATTTTTAATTATGACGCAACAAAAAACAGTATTTCTACAAAAAGACCATTTGTTAAGGAAATTCTGGAACAAACAGGTAAATTGGCAATTACGGAAAAATACGTTTGTCGGCCTTTAATTTGACGTTTTTTTTGTGAAACACTGATTGCTGACCAAGCAAGGCGTGACGAAAGTAAGTACTGAGTTACTCTATTTAGATGGGTATTTCTTATTTACTTTATTTTTAACTGTAAAATTTTGGCAATGTATTTATTGGATTGAGTCCATAATAGTGCACTTATTTGGCTCATTTTGGCTATTTAGTATTTTTGTCTAGTATATTTAAGAGGCAAATGAAGCTTTAAGTGTAGTTATAGTAAGTATAGTTAGATCTTCGATTGTTCAAAGAAAAAATTATTAAATCATCTTTGTTTTCACCGCAATAGATATAATATTATGAAGATATACTACTATAGTACTATATTATATAGTATTTGTTAGTACTGTCTAATAATCTATATACTTATCTAGCGACTCACCCTCGCTACGCTCGGGTTATGTTTTAACGTTTAGTTTAGATTTCTCAGAGATGATATATTTTCCGGCTATAAAAAGTATCCTACATATTCATCCGAATAACCAGCTATTATCATACCAAATTTCATCAAAATTTGTCCAGTGGTTTTCTCGTGATGCGTTAAAAGACAAACAAACAAAAATTCTAAGAACTATAGTTTCGGCCTCAGTATCGATATCGATCGATGTAATGATCGAGTAATGACTATTTTAATTATTGTACAGATTCGATATGATTAGAATTTTATTATTTGTATAATATAGATTTAACACAGTCTATGTGTCTGATACCAGTAGGTATTCAATATAATGCATTAGCATTATATACATAATCCTATACAGTGTTAAATATTATAACTGATTTCAAAATGTAACTTTTTTCTTAATGTTTTCGTGGGAAGATATTATTAGGTTACATTAAGAAATACCTTAAATTAAGTATGAGTATATTTAAATTGTTTTTTATAGGCTAAGTATTTTACCTCTAAATATATGTTAGCAGATATTCAGCCGAGGGCGAAGCCAAGAAATGCAATGTACGATCGTGAAGTGCCTATTGGCCTCGGATGTTAAAAATATCTCGGTAAAAAAATTATAGGCACGTGGCCTGCATTAGCGTCAGAAGGTTTAAATGCAGGTTTAAGTCAGCTATTTTTCTGATTTAATTTTAAGTGTTGATGACCTCCTGACAAATTTCGGCCACGGCTGCCAATCTCACTGAGATTAGCCAACTGCGCACAAGATATTATAATGGACAAACAAGTGTACACCAGTGCACTCTCTATTCCTTTCACTTTAAAATTCTGACAAGATGATAATTCGACTGGTGAGAGATCAGGCGCAGGAGTCAGGATCTGCGTATTTACGTGGACTCCACAGCACGGATGAAACACAACCGACTTCTTAACTCCTGGCTGTTACTGGAATTTTTTTGACAGAAAGACTCAATAACTAAACTTGGCTGGACCCGGGGCTCGAATCCAGGACCTCCTAATGTGCAGCCGTACATGTAGCCACTACACGAACGAGGCAGTTAGATAAGTGCATAGGTATACATATATAATACCGATATTACACATACATATTGCCAATATCAAATAACTTCTAAAGTACTTACAGCTACTTTAGTTGAGTAAATGTATAATATTGTGTAATTGTGCAAAATAGTTGGTGAAGTAATTACTCACGTATCAAAAACCACTCATCATCGCAGATGTTATTGACGATGTGGATGTGACCCTTTATGCTCTCTTCATTGAAGTGGCTTTCAGTCACGTCGGAACAATCAGCGTTCCAATCTATAGCGCAGTTTGTTAAGTGCTTTATTGCTCTACATGTAAGAAAAGTTTGAAATTTTATAAGAAGAGTTTAAGTATTTTACATAACATAACATATTTTGTTTTCATGTGACCCTGTTTTTTTTCTTTTTTGAAGTTGAAGTACACAAGTCACATAAATCTATATTAATATCATAAAGAGGCAGAATTTATTTGTTGGAACGCGCTAATCTCAGGAACTCCTAATCCGATTTGAAAAATTATTTTTGCATTAGATAGCCCGTTTTTTGAGGAAGGCTATAATAGGCTATATATATATATATATATATATGCATATAACGACAAATGATGTATTTATTTTAATAATAATTTCTACAAATTTAATGCAATATTTGTATTAAAATCAATTTGTATATTTTTATTACAATATTGGGTAATATATCCATCTGCGTAAAAATATTTTTAAGCAAAACGAGTCGGTCATAGCGCAACTGTAGCTTTAAAAGCCACATACTATATAAGAAAAAGATGACATGGGATTTGATTTTCTATATAATATTTTATAACTTACTTTACAAAGTAAGCTTTAGGCAAATATTGTGATATTTGACTATAGTTTTAGGTTCTTGGGTTCCTTATTTTGATTGAGTGCCCCGTAAGCCTAGTTGCTCGCATATGCGGCTGCGTGATGACACGTATGGTGACGACACGTTTGGCTCAGTGTGTAGTAACCCTACTTGCTGTGCCAGCGGTCGCGGGTTCGAGTCCCGCTGGGGGCATTCATTTTTGTGTTGAGCACGAATGTTTGTACTCAGTCATGGGTGTTTATATTTATAAAATGTATGTATTTAAAGTTTATATATGTGTAGTGTATCAACTATCTGGTATCCATAACACAAGCCTCGTAGCTTACCATGGAACTAGATGGTGCTGTGTGTTAATGTCCCAACATATTTATTTATTATTACTTATTACATATACATATATATTTATTATTTATTACCTGACAGTTCCGGGTTCGATTCCTGGCCCTGTTGCCATGCTATGGCGGTGTCATAGCCCCGTAACCTTAAATTGTATCCTGATTTTTGACTACAAAGGACACTTGTATTTGCGCACACCCTAAGGTTATAAATATATCTCCTACGCAGATGACTAGTCTCAATGAAATTTACGCATTATCAAAATAAGTCAACAGGCCATTATAAAATTCTTTCCTTTCAAATAAGTTCAGATCAAGTAAAAGTGAAAGTATTGTGAAAAATAATTAAAAAAATATCTATATAAATAAACATGAATCACCGAAATGTATGTACGCGCATAACTTCAGATCGACTGCACCAAATTGGATAATTCTTTTTTTTATGTTTCTTATTGTAAAAGTGAGTGAGTGGAGTAGTTTTTATCCCGGAAATCATCCCTTAAGAGGGTAAGAATAGAGATGAAAGTTTTTATGGCGAATCAAGCCAGGGACGAACCCAAGTGAAGCGCTAGTAGTAATATTATAGTAGAATCCTTATTAGAAGAAGTAAATCAATTCAGAATTCAGTTACTGTAAAACTTAACATACCTACACCAGTCACTTATTTTCGATGGTAACGGCGGTGCCATTTTACTGGAGTTGTATATCATGGCAGCATCAACAGTGCAATTAATGGCGTACTTAGAGAAATCATCACAATTAATATTTTTCACACTGGTATTCTGCATTGGAAACGTTGTAACAGGTTCGAATTCGTCATCTTCAGATTTTCTAAAAGATCTTTTTGTCATCTCATTATCATAGTTTAAATCTAAAATTAATAATTAAGCTTTTATAGTTACTACAGAAACTAGATTCTTAACATTTCAGACATGACATGAGAAAAAGGCAGAGCACCACCGTACTTCAGACCAATGATTCGATTAAACGGGACATCGGGGGACTCTTACGATGTTCGCCATCGTTGCCTTCAATCACCGCGTTTTTCTCATCCTACCTTTCTAATATTAAAACTATCAAAATATATTTGTTTGTTTGTCCTTTTTATTAAAGATTAATGTTTTATTTTTGGCATTATGTTAGTTTATAGGAAAGTGACCTAGGCTCTTGAAGATAATTAATTAATGTAACTGCTTCGCTGTTTCGCTGCTTCGCTTGGCGTTTTTTCGCAAAAGATATAAAAATTGAGTTTTTTTCTAGAAAGGACTAATTATATATAAATTTAATAAGCAAAACCTTATCCAAATACATTCATATCGTTACGGTCGTTTCCAAGATACACGAAATAAATTAATATATACACAAGAATTGCTCATTTAATATTATAAGATAGTAAGGGCAGAAACGAGAAGAAGAAAGGGTATAACTGAAAATCAGTTATAGGACTAACACCCCACTACAGTCTGAGTGGTTTTGCACCATTGCACCGCTATACAGATTAGCTTAATTTAATAAAATATATTAACTCTATATAGGTATATATATAGCTATACTAAATGATTTGTGTTGTAACGTTAGATTTTTATAATTAGTTATAATAATGAACACACTGTGACATGTGTCTTGATGTTAATAAATCTTTCTTTCTAAATCGCTTATCTTTCTGTTTCCCTAGTTTTTGTCTTCTAAGGCAAATAGAGTAATTATTTATACGATCTGCACCCTTATTTCATATCTTAACCTTTTTCTAGGATAAGTGTAGTCGCTTTAAGAACATCAAAACATTTTAAATAAAAAATAATAAACAAACACAAACAATAAATCGAAACTTCGGGTACCAAAGATCTAAATAAATCCGCGAAATAATTCGAAAAAATAGTTTTATTTAAAATGTCAAATATTCGCGTAAATCTAAGAAAGTACTAACAAAGTATAACATCAAAACATTTAATATTTGTAATTTATGTATGTATAATAAAATACTTACAATGTGCATATGTGAATTGAAACATTGAGAACAGAATTATAGAAAATTTCATATTAATTTATTAAAGTGTCTTAGTATCATTATTGTAAATGATTGACAGATATAAAAATGTAAGTAATATTACAGATTAATAATAATTTTTACTTCTACGATACATAAATTTTATCCTCTGTATGGCATAATAATTTACATTATTAGCTGTCAAGATACCTACATAATATATTGACCGTTATGTTTACGACATAGAGTATATTGCTACATATATAAAGTTTACGATGCAACATAATCACGGGATAGAATCGGGTTGTAGACGTCATATTCATTCTATTTCTATTTAATTAAAAAAAAAAACACATTATCAAAAGTATACTTAGGTGACACATGCTCAATCGCACGCCATTTGCTTAAAAAGAGAGCTATACAATATGCGAATTGAGTCAGATTTTCGATATTACTGGCAATGAAAGTACTAGTTCAAAGCGTGTAGATGCATATCATCATCTTAAAAGATTATTTCACATCATCACATGAATCCTGTATTTTTTCAACAGTACTCGCATTATTTACTTTATTGTTCTCAATTGCCTCCTTCATTATAATCTGTATATATAAAAGGCAAAAGTGATCGACTCATGTATCAAAGCACAGGCTAATCCCGTAAGGCTAGAAAATTGAAATTTCGCACACGTATTTTTTATTTTATTTTATTTTACACTAAAGAAGGATTTTTCAAAATTCAACCGCCAAGGGGATGAAATAGGGGATAAACGTTTGTATAAAACTTTTTATTCCTTGGACGTATTTGCATGACATTTCGTATGAATTGAGTACGGCAAAAATAATGAGTTACGTATTTCAGCGTTTTTTCAAAATTCAACCCCTAAGAGGGTAAAATAGGGGATGAAAGTTTTTAACGAACCTACTTCTTTGAATTTTTTTGTAGTTGTGAGAGCGAAGCCGTGGGTTCTGCTAGTTATAAATAAAATTACAAAAAATAAGTATGAAAATATTGTAGTTCACTTCAATAATATTTAAATCTTACTATAATATTATAAATGCGAAAGTTTGTGTGGATGTATTGATGTGTGGATGTTTGTCACTCTTTCACGTAAAAACTACTGAATGGATTTTAAAATAACACATAGGCTACTTTTTATCCCAGAAAATTTACGAATCCCGAGGGATTAATTTGTTTTTCTTTTTCTTGAGGCGAACCCTAGTGAAGCGAGGATGAACCGCTAGAGTATATATAATTTCATTGGTTTAGTTAATTAATAAAATATATGTAAAAGTATTAGTATATAGCAGTGATTTCCTATTTTCAACATGCTTAAAATTTCAAGTATAGCTAGCGGGTTCATATCCAGGTTTTGTACCCATACTATTTTTATGTGACGAGAAAGAAAGAAAACATCGTGAGGAAATCTATATGTCTGAGAGAGCCAAACTACATAGTTTGACATGTGAAAGTTAACCGACACTTGGCAAGCTTGGTGCACTTAGCCTAATCCCTCATATTAAGAAAGGGCGATGCTCAGCAGTGGGATGATAAAAACGTTGAATTAAAATTTAAAACTATGCATTCCTATTTGGAAATAAAATTAATTTTTAACAGATAACAATATATAAATACAGCGGTCCCTGATATTAAGCTATCAAACCTGATCATATATTCTGTCTCCATTACATATTCTCTCTCAATATCAATTGTCGAATAATTAACTTAATTTGAATAATATATGCTTATATATTATCTAGGACATACTTAGTATACGACGTCGCTAACTTGGTTAAAATTGTAATTTAGCAAAAACTAGTTCTTGCCTTGGGCTTTTTCTCAGTAAACAATAATTATGTGAGATCAATATACAAAATATTATATGATTACTATTGTATGTTTCTCTACTTCTTAATAAAAATGAGGTAATAATAAGTTCACAATTTTCAAAAATACAATATTGATCAAACTTCAATTTCAGCATTCAAAAATAAAAAAAATCTGAGCAAAACGACAAGATTCTGAACAATCCGTATTTGTATCCGTATTTTGTACTCCATAACAAAAAAATACATAGAAAAAAAACCGTTTTTTAAATTATGCCTATTTATATATGTATATCATACAATCATATATATTCATAACATCATACATTAATCTATATTAATATTATAAAGATGTAAAGTTTGTGAGTTTGTGAGTTTGTGACGTTATAAGGGGTAATATCTAATACCTTCACGCGTAACGGTTTTGGCTGAAATTAAATGAACTGATAGACTATGATCTGGAATTATGCAAAAGCTGTTAATAATTTTGCCAAAAATATATACAAAAAGGCATTAAAATCAAGTTTTTTTATTGATAACACTAAAGCTCCTCAATACTCGTACTAAACGAAAAAAGTGTGTGTGGACTTATGTGCGCACGTAAGAAGTTATACTTTTTTGGCGTAAAAGAACAAAAATAGGTAAAGAATTATTCGTCCCGTATGTCACAACTCTCTGTTTGTAAAATGAATGATAAATTAATAAATATATATATATTTTCTCCACTGATATGAAACACGTGTTATAGATTTATAAACATTTAAGTAACTACTTTGAATATAGTTATCACTTTTTTCTTAGGAACCGGAGAGACAGTTATTAGCTAGCATGTCGCTTATTGGCTGTCGGTGTGGGCGTGGATCGTAGTTTTTTTTCTATCATATTTTTTCCAAACGTGCCAAAAGAAATATAACTTCAAAAAAAAAAAAAGAAAATCGGTCTTTGCCTATTTATATATAGTATAGTATTTACCTATTCTTTAAGTTTACTTTAATATTTAAAGTGTCCTTAGTTACCTAAATTTACTTACAAAAGGTCAAATAAAATGTCACTGTTTCATACATATTCCGACCGCAAGTGACAATGCTTTTGTTACAGTCGTCATAAAATTACAGAAACAACGCTGAAATTACGCTTACACCTGTAACTTTGAGGCTTTGCGGTATTCTCCATTTATGAAATTATATTTTTAACATTATTATCTCATTCAGAAAGAAAAGCCTTTCTCGTCTATTTATTTTTCTCTGTGCATTTATTTCCTTTCTCTTATAAATTCGAATTTATGTCATTATTTAGTTTTCTTTTCAATACTAAATCGCTGGACTTAAATTGAAATATGATTTAACGATAGTTTGGCTATTGGAAACGAATATAGAATAGTTTAATCCCATTTTTTGTTTCTAAAAGGATAATAATAATGATATACAGAGAGTTAAATGATATTTTTACTACTATTATTTTTCTACTTTAATGTTCTGAAAAAGATAGATTGGTCATAAGCGTAAAATATTTTCCGTCTTATAAACAAAAACACCTGATGATCAAACCCGGGGCTGAACCTAGGGCTGCTTATCATACATATAAACACTGGATCAACGATTTAAGTTAATATGCCCCTAATGAATGAATGAATAACTCTTTATTGTATATTGTATTGTTTTATATATTGTAAAAAACAAAATGAGAAAAGAAAATATACAAAAAATAGAACAAGGTACAAGAGGCGGCCTTATCGCTAAAAGAACAATTTTACATTTAGATACATGTTACCGAACTCAGTTTCAACTAGCTTTATTCGTACATTCTCGTAAATGCACTGAAGCTAAAAAAAATGAGTTAACATTTTAATGTCAGTTTAAGTGTTTAGTTAAATTAGGAAAGTACTCACTGCTGTAGTACTGTTTGCATAATATAATCATGCAAATAGCAGCTCAGCTTAGTACGATTTTAATTTATTTTATTAAGGTTAAGTCTGAGGATTTGTATACAATTCCTGGACTAGTAAATTGTGTAAAAGTAAAAGGTATCTGTGAAAGAGATTAGAAGATTTTTTTACACTCTCCATAATTTTGTTAACCATTATAGTATCGCAATGTTTTTTTCACTGTCTAATTGGTTTTTTGATTGCATGTACGGCTACGTATCGAAGGACCTAGAATCGAATCCCGGATTGGGTGAAGTCATTAATATATATATATATATATATATATATATATATATATATATATATATTCTTTATTACACTAAACAAGTAATAAAAAAATACATAGAAAATGACATGGACAATGGTGGACTTATCTCTATAAAAGATCTCTTCCAGTCAACCCATGTATGTGTTAAGTTAGTAGCGGGACAGAGAGAGAGAGAAAGTGCAAAGAAACGATAATTAGGTTTTTCTGTGAATAAAATCGAAATACAGCGTTGAGAACTTGGCATTGTTAATCCCTTGTGCTTTGGAGATCGTAATACGCCTGATCTCTCTGTCAACTCAAGTCCTGTCGGATATCCGTCCCATCGCAAATTGAGAGTGAAAGATAACAACGGAATAAGCTCCGTTTAACTTTTTCTTTTAATTTGAATCCCTAGTTCAATACATTTCTTTATTGACATATCATTTTAACATGTCGCTGGTCGAATTACTTATTTGCTAGTTGCTACAAGATAATTGATTTGAGAATTTTATGCTTGTGAAATAAAATGAAAGTACCATAAAAATAGTGTCACAAAGTCTAAAAAACCACACACTTTAAAGAAAGTTAACTGAAATATATTTAAAAAAATGTTATAAATAGAAAATATAATGTATGTATATAGACAGAGATTTTATGTGACGTCACCTTACCTTAATATATCTAAGTTTAGGAAGTCCAATAAAATAACTTGTTATCCTAAATTGTTGCATTAAGCTTTGCAAGATTAAGTGAGCGAGCTTACGATTAAGCTTCACGTAAACGTAATTAAAAGGGGAAATTATCATAATTTTATATGAACCTCAAAAGAACCACGAAAATGAGGTCAGTTGCTGACACAGGGGAAAATCTTATTACCCTGACCTTTCTTGGTCTAACAATATGTGTTTTATTTAAAATAAAAATGTAGTAGACGCATTAAAACCAAAAATGGATGAAGAAATTTCATTATCCTTGTTCTCGTGGGGATCTCATATGTACATAATATGCGAAGAGGTTTTCTTTGACTAAATTCATTTACTTACCAGTATATTTATTCTTACAGTACATAAATTCGCCTTGTAGTCTAGACTGCTTAGCCCAAATTAAAGTCTATTTTTTATCTGGCTCTGCAGTATTACTATCAAACATTTAGATTACTTTATCAAATGAATTAAAGCACATTTAACCTTATCGGAATAAACATAAAGTTTCCTCAATCGAGAACAAGTTTTTAGGGTTTCGTAAACGAAGGGTGTCAATTACTAAGCCTCCGCGGTCCGTGCGTCTGTCCGTCTGTCTGTCTGTCACAGGGCTGTATCTCATAAATATTTAAAAACCAAGATAGCGAATTTCAAAATGGCCACCATGCAAATAGAAAAAAAACGATTATGGTACGGAACCCTTCTTGTGCGAGTCCGACTCACACTTTTTTATATTTTTTTATCTAAAGCAGTCTATGGAAATATTTTGAATGTACCTATGAGAAATATTGAATTGTTAGGTCACGTGGTCACTTTAGCAGTCGGCTGTAGAGTGAGAGTAGGCCGAAATCTTAGCTAGAAACTCGTTTTTAGATATCGCCGATGGATGTTTCGAAGTAGTTTTCATGGCTTTTTTAACAGAATTAGTTCCATACGAGGTTTAATAGTAATTAAAAGAATTAGTAATTATGTTTTATAAATATTAGTAAAAATATTTTTAATAAATATTTTAAAATTTATAAAACTAACGAAACAGGAAAGCAACAAAAAATACCTATTTAAAACAAATATCCGTTAACATAGCCTAAATATACACTTAGTAACATTATTGATTTTCATAACTTATTAACTATTCAATCTCATTTACCGCAGCAATCACATGTAAGATATGAAAGAAAAAAAAGAAAAATTCAAGTATACTCATAATATTTCATAAATTATTATAACAAACATTATATAATACTACACTAGCGGCTTACCGGTGTTCGGCTATAGAAAAACGAAAACAAATCTTTCCCACGGGAACCGTACATTTTTCCGGGATAGAAAGTAGCCTATGTGTTATTCTGATATGTAAGCTATATTATTGTAAAGTTTTATTAAAATCCATTCAGTAATTTTTGCGTGAAAAAGTAACAAACATCCAAATATCCATAGATACAAACTTTCACATTTATATAATATATTAGTATAGATTAAAAGCCTCTTAGGTAGATAAGGTATTTAGGCGACGCCGTTGCACAAGGCGAAAACGTAAATGAATTCATTTAAATATATACAGAAGTACAGTATACGTTTTAATTCTATACACCCCTACCCTGAATACTGTGAAAATGTTTATATCTAACACTCAACTATAACCATTTTGAGCTAAGTGGGACGTGTTCTGCATAATTTTGGATTTAACCGTTTGCAAATTTAAAGGGAAATGCGGCAGGTTGCCGGTCAGACTTTGTAGAGATCCCGTTTATATGGTCAAGACACGATGTTTATCTAATTCAAACTTAACAAACGTCTTTCGTTTCATATTTCCGATTTAAAGACGTCGCTTATGTCAAACTACTAATACTTATCGTACAATAGATCATTTTTTCTCAGATTTATATACATATATATTATATAGATAAAATACATGTTTAGGTTTTTTTAGGTAAAATGTGTATTTAATACCTATAGAATTGTCGTTGATTTATATTTTAAGTTATGAGAAATAACTTACTTTTTTATCTCAAAAGCTTTTTTACTAAATGTGTATTGAAATTATACGGTGCTTATAAGAAATGCTCAATTTTTAAAAAATTGTCTATCTGTTTACCTGTCTGTTCCGCCTAATCTCTAAAACTTATAGCTGATGTTATAAGGAGTAACTAAAGCTACTTTTATTTTATATAAAGAATTAGCGTTCCGCTTAAAAAATTAAGACGTACCTAGGGACGCACCCGAGCCACAGATTCACTAAAAGTTTCTTACGGAACCCGAGCGAAGAAGTCGCTAGTCTTATTTATATAAGAAAATTACTAAATTATTTTACCCCAAAAGAATTTAAGGGTTCTATTCACTCAGATCTATTATTTAAACAAAACGATAAATCGTAAGTAAATTATAAAAACAGATTTAAGTGCAAACGGAAATTTTACTTCGCCAAGTAACTGTCCTGGACGTCGATTAGGCAGATATTTGCATAAATCATCAATGTAAAGTAAACGTTGAAGTTCCACTAGTTTTTTAGGTTAATTCTACTTCTTACATCAATATTAATTAAGTTTTTAAATTATATTATTATATGCATTTGCTTATATGTATATATGTATAATGTATAGGTATGCTTTAAAGCATTCTTTCAGTATATAATTTTAATATTAAATTCATCTTCAAATGCTCTACTACTGTATAGCATAGAAAGTATAAATGTGGTTACTATATTCAATAAGTCATCAGTTCAAAATTATTAATGAAATTGTTTATTATTACATATTTTTTATAGGCTATTAATCTTTTGCTGCTCATAACACTTATACTCAACTGAAGTTTATTAAAAATATATCTATAACTCAAACTCAAAATTTTTATATATGTTTAAACAATTCTTATGAAGCAACAAAACTTGGCGTCAACTTACAGATGTTGCATTTGACATAGTGCAATCTAAATAGAATGACCGGGGACTCAAGTTCTCACAGCGACAGAAGAAAAAGATATTATCTGACCGTGAAAAAGAAAAAGATATTATCTTTCATTCTACGAGTTTTAAACATAGTATAAGTAGCAAATATGTAAGTGCAGATATTGTAGGTTAGGTTGTAATTGGAACAACCGTTTTAAAGGGATTTGTTTTATATGAAAGATAATAAAAAATAGATAACTAATAAATATAGCATATTAAATTAGCATAGTATTAAAAAATATATTATATTTTTTAAACTTTATCTTGACTATATGCTTCAGAACATAGCTTATGTAAAAGGTCTATCCAAGAGTCACAGTGCAAGCGATTAAGGACCATTATTCGTCCCACGTATCT